TGGAACAGGAAAAGTGTACTAAAATCAAAATAATTCTTCTATTAGACATGTGTGCATTTGTGTACATCCAAATATATATGCATAGGAAGATATGCATCTCCAGATGTCTAAAGGGCATGTTTTTCTTCATCTTTTTCCATATCTGAATCTTCTGATATTGGGCTAGGATGAACATGAATTACTTCTGAAATAAACATACAGAAATAGACATAATTTTAAAAATCCATAATCTTTCTAAGAAAAAAAAGTTCCCTTTATTTTTCTATAGCTGCTAGGTTAAACAGGAAGTCCTTATGAGTTAATATTGGATGACAGTGATAAGCAGAAACAGAGAGGAACAACTTATACTCAAAAAGTCGTCTATCTGATCAGCACATTTCATGTTCTCATATACCTGTTCAATGTTTTTTAAACTAAAAAATTCTTCCAATAAACACTAAAAATCAAAAAGTCAATACTGAGATTTTCCTCCATCTAGAAAACTGATGCTTAAAATATATTGCCTTTTGTTCCAGATCAAAACATCAAAACTGTCTTTGACCGAACACAACCACACAGACCCAGCATTTACATCTGAAGTCAACCCCTTTATAATCACAGATTATTTTTCTTAAATCCCTGATTTTTGTTTTACGCCTATGATGCAGAGTGGGTTAGTGATAGCAAGCCCTGGAGAGTGGCAGCTTTGCTTTGTTTGAGAAAGAGTCTTCTTTATGAACGCAGGAAATTAAAAATGCAAACACCACCAGCTAGTCAGTCAGGAAAAGCGGCGTTGTGAATGCTGGGGTTTTGAGGGTACAAATTAGGGAATTTGTTTTCCCCTTAACAGAAGTATATTCACTAAGTAATTTGTTTTAACTAGCATAATCCACTTGCATTAACCGGAGAAGTGAGTCCAAATTAAAATCGCGATTCATCAATTACTGCTGGAGGCATGTGTGAGTCACGTGTTAGGACCTAGGCAATAGGTCACATCAACTATAATTTTAATCATCATGATCTCAAGGCTCTCAGAAGGAATAATTTGGGGCAGGGGAGAAATTGGAAACTCCTAGTTCCTGCTGACATGAAGGCAAATATTTCTGAGGATTTTAAATTTATTTAATCATTAATTTTTTCAAGTGTTTTAATTTTTCCCTGGTTTGGTGAGTACTTGTGAGACATGAAGGATACAGTGATGAGTGTAATGACACAGACCCTCTCTTCATACAGCCTACAGTCTAGTGGGAGGGTAACTTAATACATGAGAAATCATAACCACAGATCATGATGAGTACTTTTTTTCCTTCACAGTGCCATTTTCTTAATTGAAGTATAGTCGGGTTAACAATGTTGTGTCAACTTCTGACGTACAGCATCATTTTTCAGTCATACACACGCATACGTTTATTCTTTCTCATTATCGGTTACTACAAGATACTGAATATAGTTCCCTGGGCTGTACAATAGAAACTTGTGTGATGAGTGCTTTAGGGGAAGGGATAGGATCTGAGAAAGAGTAACGGAGAGATGCAAGTTTACCTGGGTGAGTCTGGGAACGCTTCCTTAAGGAGGTGATGTTTGAGCTTTGACACGAAGACAGAGGCATTCACACTCCTCATAACATGTTCCTCTCAATTCATTAGCATCCTCTTTCCTGGTCTTCCTACTGTCTCCTTGGCCACCCCAACTCAGCTTTCACTCTCACTGTGGGACCCTCGTCTACCCAATCTCAGACTCCGAAGTTCCTCACGCCTAAGTTCTCCAACCTCTTCTCACTCCAAAGTTCCTCCCAAGACAATCCACTCCACGCTATGACCTCAAGTACCAGCCACACCCAACAATTTCCTAATATGTGTTTCCAGCCCAGACCTCTTTTCCTAGCTTTGGACCCATATGTCAACTACCTACATGACATCTTGACTTGTCTACCTCACAGGAATCTCAGATTTAACACAGCCCATGCTAAAATCAAGATGTTTGCCTCTCAAACCTTCTCTTCCTTCAGTAATCTCCATCTCCCCACACAGGACCACTCACTCAGTAGCTGTATCACTAAACAAGGGGTTGACTGTGACACTGGCTTCTTCCTCATGTCACATATATAACTGGTAACCCAGCTCTGTCTGGTTGATAGTAAAAATATAGTCTGAATTTTATCACATGTTTCCATCTCTCCTACCATCAGCTCTGGTTTGGATACCTCTTCTATTCTTGTTTCCATTCGTGCCCCCTTCCAATTCAATGTCTTAAATAAAAAATCTTTTCTGATTACTCTCTGCTTTTAAAATTCTTCCATTGTTCTGAACGTTGAGTCTAAATTCATTAAAATGATTTCTAAGACACTGCTTGATCTTTTAGTCTTATCTCATGCTGGTCTTAGCATCATTCTCTGTCATTCAGCAAAAAATGGATCTCTTCCAGATTCTAAAATGAAAAAAGGACCCTCCTTCCTTAAAGACTTTGTACATGTTACTCTTTCCACCTGGAACTCTTCGGGTCTCCCTGCCTTATAGTCTCAGAGTAACATAGTGTTCTCTGTATCAGCATTTGGCTTCAAGTAACAGATTACCTAGGGGAGTAGTTTAACAATAAAGATACTTAATTGCCTCGTATCACAAAAGGTCTGGGAAGTGGGCACTTCTAAAGTTAGTGCAGCATTTCAAAACCATTATCCAAGACCAAGACTTCTCCCCATTCTGTGTATGTTCACTTTTTAATTTAGGGTAATGACCTTACAGTTACAAGGTGGCTGTCTGAGCTCCATGTATCATGTTCTGACACAACAATGTTTCTGGCATTCAGGGTGGAAAGGGGGGAAGAATGCTCTCCTCTTATGTATATATATCACCTCTACCAGAAACTAAAATCTCCATTTCACATTCCCCCACATCATATTGGCCATATCTGTGTCATACAGTGACTGAGCTGCAAGAGGGTTGGGGGTGTGGTTAGACGAGTATTAGAAGAGAGAAGGAAAGGAGGTTGGAATGGCTGTAGAACAGATGATCTACAATGTCTGACACATTCTTCAGAGCATTTACCAGAATAGTAATTAAACAATTAAATATGCACATTTTTTTATTGTGTCCATTTTTTTCATTATCTCCTCTGTGTGTGAGATTATAAACTCAATGGCTACAAGGATGCTAGAATCTGTACAGTGTCGGGGGTCTGGCCTGTGTGGGAATCAGTTAGTGGTGGTTGAACGAATAAAAGCATGAGAGAGAAAAACAGAGGCAGAAAATAGGTATGAAAAGGATGGAAGGCTGCCAACACAGAGCTTAAGCTAATGGTCCTATCTCATAATTCGTGGTTCAGCTTTCCACTCCAGTTAATTTGAAAACAATCTTTCATCCGAAAAAAAAAAAAAGGCCTCTTTTTGGAAGTGCTCCAGTCTTTGCACAGTGAATGCAATTTTCCTAACCTCTTAATTCCCCACCATGTGAGTAGACATATGATTGTTTTCATCGAGATCCAGGGATGAATTCTTCAAAAAATAAAACAATTTCAATCCCTGTTATAGAGTTAGATGACCTAGAAAATTTTAAATTGCCTCAAGTACATGACTGCAAATCAATTCCTGGCTGAATCACTCAAATATCACTCAACAAGAAAAATGTATAAAAGCCAGAAAGTTACTTAAAAGAGTAGTTACAAAATTGGGGGGATAAATTTTCCACTCCTGACAGCATCACACTAACAGATAAGGATGTCATTCAGATCATCCAATTAGGGAGCAAGTGGATGTAAAATGCCTGGCACAGGAAGAATGCTTGGCATATTTTTGTTTATCTAGACTGCAGGAAAACCTGGGTTTACTCCTGCCTCTCTCACGTCCTGTATAGATAACTATGAGCAAGTTGAGTGTGTTCTTTCGTTCACGAATGGTATCATAATCTTAAACTACCTTTCAATTACAACATGCAGTTACTCTACAATTTAAAAACTTAAATGAGTTAAGTTAAATGGCATTGAATGCAGCCAGTGGTAGCCAACCTAATAAGACACTGAGAAATAGATTCATATCCCAAGAGTCTGTCTGTCTATAGACGCAGAATCTGTTCATAGTTTCTGATGAGCATGCTGTTTGGTCATCCCAAAACACAAAGGACACTGACATGCAAATATCACATTTTTTTTTTAAAGAAAGTTGTAAATATTCACACATACAAGACTAGATTTCAGGCTTTAAATATGGTTGTTATCTGAAGTAAATTTCTTTAAAAAGAAAAAGTGACTTTAGCATTGGCAAAGGGAGTCCCCTAAAGAAAAAAAAAACTAAACAGATGGCTGAGAAAGACCACCCACGTGCTGCACTGCAACACAGATCTCGAGGAGGCATTTCTAAGAATGAAGTGGCACTTCCCCGCCTGGGCCACGTCCCACAGGGCTCCTTGTTTAACCCACAGAAAGCACAAGGTTTTCACCTCTAACCAAGGGGAACCTCAGCTCACTCGCTCACAGCCATCCAGATGAGGTTCCAGCTCTCCCCAGTGCTCCAGCAGAAGCTAGGCACCAGCCACTTGAGACAGGAAATTCCCTAATAAATCAGTGTTTGATGATCAGCCCTGAACCAGTATCTTCCCATAGAAACGGGCTGTTAGCCCCAGCTAAGCACTGCTAAGCACCAATTTAATGTCCAACACCCATCTGGTCTTCTTTCTAGTGAGCAGGCTTCAAGATAACTTAAATCCTAGACTTAATCAAGGGGGAAAAAATTCTTGGCAATGTTTAAAACTGAGTTTTTAAAGTAAAATCCGAACAAGGGTGAGAGAGACCATCTTGCTGTAGCTAATGAGATTATACAATACCGAAGCCAAATCCACCAAATCGCCTGAGCAGAAGCCCTTGATCTTTTATCTGAGCCTCTTCGTCTTTCCTTCTGATGCTATCAGCATTTACCAAAGAGCTCCATCAACATGCAGCCCCAGGCACCAAACACCAGCAACAAACGTGTCCTCTGCAAACAGCATAACCCAACCCCCCCCAAGCCCAGAGTCCATAAGAGGAAAACTCACGGATTTGTCCTTCACAAGGAAAGCACAGCACTGAATTCCAGCCATGAGCATCTTGTGTGGGTTCCAGGCCACAGAGTCAGCCCTGTTATGTTAAAGCAAAGGACAGGGCAGGGAGGAGAATCAGTTTCCACCAGTGGGGAAAAAACGTGATCCCTAGCAGCAAACAGATTCAGGCCCTCCTGTAACGGAGTAGGACCCCGCAGGGCCGTCCGGGGACAGACCCCCCACCCCGTATTCTCTGCTGCAGCTCCTCTCTGAAGGAGCCAGTATCTCATGTATATGTCCTGAGTTTTTTGGATACCAAAAACCACCACCAAAGGGAAGAAATGAACTACTTGATGATCAAGAGCACGTAGCCCCCAGACCTTCTGGTGCCCGAGGATTGATGGTGTTGACCGCCCTGTTCCCTCCACATCAACCAGTCAGAGGATTGTGCACGAGCTGATCGTGCACCCCGAGACCCTCCTCCCTCCCCTGGCCTTTAAATAGGCTTTGCTGAAACCTGTCAAGAAGCCTGGGGTTTTCTTGAGCATGAGCCACCCCGTCCAGTAACCCTTTCCTGGCTCCAGATTCCCATGTTCAGGTTTCTTTGGCCCCACAGTGCACTGGGCACGTGAACTTGCCTTTGGTAGCACTCACATCCACGTCAGGGCTCTGCAGGATCCCTTGCGTGAGCGGTTTGAGGAGTCTGGAGTTTGGTTTTTGTTTTTTAAAGCAAAGTGACTACTTCTTTCTTTTTCTTTTTTTGTTTTTGCCTACTTTCCAAATGTCACTTAAGTGGACAAAGCTCAAAGAGCGTCCTTCCACTAAATAAAAAATCCCGTGACCGGGAAACTACATTTACCTGTGGATGCCATGCAGAAGGTTGCGGTGCTTCCTTGACACCAAGGCTGAGCCACCCCAGGAAGCCTGTTGAGATATTTGTATAATCAAAACAGTGTTATTGCAATGTGACCTGTTTACCAGCCAGTCGTCACAGAAAACCCCAAGTGACACCTCCATCTGTCTCATTTGATACTTTAAGTCAATGTTAACTGATGTGTATGTACCCTAGGAAATTCTGGTCACTGGCTCTCCTCGGGCAATCAGAACCTCATCTCGGTAGAGGGGCCCTCATTGACACTTAGGATTTAAATTCTCACCCACATTATAAAGAAATAGGTATATGAACTCATTGAGTTGCCTGTGGACAAAAAGAGGGTTAAAAGACACAGTAATCTCCCTTTCAATGGGAAGAGTGGAAATCAGACAATAGCTTATCAATACTGACACTCTGCTGCATCCAATGTACAAGCATGGACCACGAGACCTGGCTAAGGACTCGCGTTCTGTATGATGAACAAGGCACGTGCTCGCCAAGGTGGACAGAAGGGAATCCCGGAACCCATAGCCAACGAGGGTGGGCTAGGTGGATCCTGTTGTTGAAAAAGTAGATCTTTTCAAGCCAAACAGCTTTCAGAAATATTTGCAAATCAAAAATGTGAGAGTGGGAGAGAGGAAGCCTGGGATGTAAGGAAGTTATTCATCGGAGCGGTAAATAGAATGGTGGAGGAGCTAAGAATAAGGAGAGGAAAGGAAATCTCATAGTCAGCAAGTCTGGATGGGAGGGAGGAAGAACTGATGTGAGAAATAAAAAAGTCAGCTGGGTGCTTGAAATGGAACAGGCTTGTAAGTGTTCATGTGTAGGGCAGTGAAGGGTGATTGCAGTGGGGGAACATGAGGAGGACCAGCCTTGAAAGGGAAGCGGAGGCAGGGTGGAATGGAGAGACAGCTGCCTCTAAAGCCCATGATTTTAGATACAGTGTTTGCCACTCCCCCTGGACCTAGGATGGAGGGCAAGTGAGACACTGTTACAAGTGTGACTGGGAGTGTGAGAGTGCAGGGGCCACAGGCAAGAGGTGGGCCAGCCCTGAAGTCCTGGTCTGAGGCAGAAGCTGGAATCACATTGGCTCGCATGAACAAAGAATAGCCCTGGAGGCAAAAAAAAATTCCAGCACAACTAAAGTTTTTCTTGTTTGGCTGTTTGAAAATACATTGTAAGCAACCAAATTTAAGACACTTTCAAATGTAAGCGTGCCATTTGTTTGTGTGCTGCTAAGAAGGAAACAAAATGAGATCAGCATACTGATCTCAAGTATACTGAAAATATAAGCAAAATATGCATGCCTTAGAAATCATACAATATGGTATATATGCAGGGCTACTTTGTCTTATGGAAACCCCAGAACAACAAGCAATCCTAATTACACTTTTAAAGAGAAATAAAGTAAATATCAGGCTTTAATATTTTTAAAGGCTCTATAAAATATCCTTTAGAATACTTCAAACAGGCCAAAGTAATAACTGTAATTTTATTAATTTTTTATCTTTAAAGTTAATAAACTACCTGTGGTATATGAAGTTTCTTCAAGAGAAGTTACAAGCTCCTGCATAAAACTTTATGAACTGAACAGATGTCTGTAACATGAGAGGCTAAGTGAGCACTGTCTCTATGTCAGAGCTGGTTTCTGTAACAGACAAGATGAACTGTTGTCAAATTTAACCTAATACTACAGGCATTTGACTAGATGCCTCTTACGTGCAAACAGAATAATTTGTGTGGCTTCAATCTTTCCTGGTAAGAGTATTTTCTTCCAAAATTCAACCTTCGATTTTTTTTTCAAGAAAGTCTAGAGAGGTTTTCATTCATACCTTATACATTACAATTCTCTCTACACCCCATAAATCTCTTAATATCATTCCCAGTTTGGGAAACTGCGGTAGTTACTCTGTTTTACATAAACTGTATAATCCATATTTGATGTTTCTTTTATGAGAGAATTTTTAAGTAAAAGTGCTGATATATTTGATTTTTGCCCCTATTTCCGCAGTCACAAAAGTACTCACTTCACATTATCTTTTAGGACGTAACATATTATTATGCTTCTAAATTCCATAGAAGTCAATAAGATATAAGTTGAAATGTGAACAGATACAAACACTACAATCCCATCTGAAGAAGTCACAAATAATCTACTTGACGTATGCTAGGAGAGACTGTGACTCGCGTGAGCTTAATATCACCACTGCTGCTTTTACCAAATATTAGCTTACACTTAATGAAAGCCTCGAGTGGCTGAAAAGTCCTCTCCATATTATCTCATTGACACTTTACCCTGGAGGCATACAATCACCCAGAACATAAAATTATGTGTAGGTATATCTCCCAGATGCTCAGCTACCTTCTGTTCAGCACGTCAAAAACACTGTCCTTTCTTTCCTGATAAGGAGGACACGAACCACTCACTCGGCAGAGGAAAGTTCCCTCCTCAAGTCTCATCCGCGTTTTCAACAGTGCCTTCTACTGGGTCAACATCAAACTCATCGACTCCTGATTTCACACACACACACACACACACACACACAACCCAAGCCAAAATGCTCAACAGGCATTCATCACTGGTTGAATTTAACTTTTTAACCCTGAATGAGTAGAATTTTAAGAGTTACTTTTAACTGAGGAAAAATTGATTGAGAACAACCCCAGGACCTACAAAATTAACTGGAAGAAAAAAAGCCAACTCTCTAACTTAGAAAATTGTAAAGAATATAAATGATTCCAATCCCTCTCAAACAGTTATCTACGACAGATCCAGATAAAACCTGTTTTAATTATGGTGCAATTAAGTTATCCTTAATTTTTGCATTTTCCAGCTGAACGGAATCACAGAATTTTAGAGCTGGAAGGCACTTCATTGACCGTGGCAATCATTTTCCTCTTTACACATGAAACCAAAGCCCAAAGGGCTGGGATCACAATGAAAAAGAGGTGGGTTAGAATCCAAAATCAGCCTCTTGACTCCACAGTCCCAAATGTGTCCCTCACACCGTGTTGCTTCAGGGACCGAAGATATGATTCCTGAAAGAAGAGGCAATTAGATAAAATTTGGAAACCTACAATAAAACGTGCATCAAGCCTTGGGATCTTCTTTACTACCTTACAGGAAATGACGTACCTACTTCCCCTAGTTGGAAATATACATTTAGATAACAGGAATCGGGGATCTGACAGTTGGTCCCGAGAATATGAGAAACTTCCCACCAAAGCTGCCAGAAGGCTGGAAAGCGAACCAGACGTGCGCACGCGGATGCACTTACGTCCACGTGGAGCCAGAGGCCATGCCGCTCACAGACGTCAGCTATCTCGTTCAGAGGGTCAAAGGCCCCCAGCACCGTCGTCCCCGCGGTGGCACAGACGAGGAACGGTGCCGTGCCCTGTGCGAAGGACCACACGGGAGGAGGTTAGGGATTGTCATCGTCACCGCTAAGTCTGTGCCGAGCCCGGTCGGTAAACAAAAGGGTTACCCACACATATGTTTACTTGGCTTCTTTGGGGATAAGCATTAATTCAGTGAGTGTCTTTAACCAGCTCCATCATCTGGCCGCCAGTCATTACGAACAGGCTAAGGGACAGAACGGGCCCTGACAGCAGGGTTCCTCTGCCCCAGCTCCACGAGCGCCCTGGGCCTTGTTCACCCTTGTTTTCTTTCTTAGCCTTTCCTGCTCTGTGGGTGCCCCAGGTACACAGTCAATACCCTCAGCAGCAATGGCACACGGGTCTTCTGCGTGATTCCAGGCTCCTTCCCAGGGAGATGCACGGGGGCCTCCCCTATCAGCACCGTCACTCTTCTCCAAAATGAGAAGGAACAGGCTGGGAAGACAGGCAGCCAGTGCCAGGGGCAAACCACGCAGGACTGTCTGCTTGTCACCTGGGGAAGTAAGTGCAGTGACAAGACAAGGGATGTGCCCAGGTACAAATCTGGCATCAGAGGGGACGTGGTAGCTTCACTGGGATGCACTCCCCTGAACAGGTGCCTCCTGCAACAGACAGTCGTTAAAATGTGCTGGAAACAAGCCCCTGCATCCTTTCTGCTGTGGCTGTTCCTCCTCACACAGCTGGGGGCTGCATCCTGCAGAGAGAGCAGGTGCCGCGGGAGACAGGCAGGAGAAGGAGAAGGTGGGAACCCGCGCAGAGATGAATGGCGACCCCAGCCAAGCCAGCCAGGCACGCGGGCCCCACCAGGGGTTTCTGGCACCAGGCAGGGGAGAGCACATGAGTTGGGGTTTTTAAGAGCCACCCCAATTTCATGGCAGAGGTGTGGCTCTCTGCGGAAGTGCCTTGAGGGGGAAATTTGCAGACAAAGAAGGGGTCAGGGGAGCAAGCAGAATTCTGATCCCAGAGCACCAGAAATAAGTGACCAGAACGCTTACTGCCCATCAGTCACTTTACCTCCATTTAGGATGGAGTCATTTTCCCATTGTCAGCTTTAACTTGAAGGGCACTTGTTCTTGCAATCTATCTTTATGTCTCATTAAGTGTCAGGGGTGTTCAGTTTGAACTGGATTCATTCCAGGCTAGCTGATCTCTGACAGAAAGAAGTTATTTCTCAATGGAAAGTGGGGCAAAGCAAGGATGCTTGATCCACATTTCTAAGCCGAGATGCACAGGAATGAAGCAATGGTCCACAATGAATCCATTTGCCATTTGGGGAGGTGGGTGTGACACATGGAACCCAGTCCACCAACCCCCCAGTAGGTGACAGAGCCCTGGGAACCACAGGCTTGGGGACTCCTTCTCTGTACTCAACTACCAATGGATTATGTCTTTAAAATGCCCCTGACCTAGAAGAAATGAGACCAGATTTACAGCAATCATTAAGGGCAATAGAAAAAGTAATTCACTAAAACCATTGAAGCTGTCTTGAATGGTTGGGCTTGCCTTGTAAATGATACGACATCCTGAAAACTGTGAGAAGATATCTATGCAAGCTCTTACAGCCCATTAATGAGTTTTCCTCACCCCTTTAACAATTTGGGTATAAATATAAGACCCAGGAATTAAAACTTTTGTAATCTGGATTTAACCTCCCGGCTTCCTCCCTTTTCTCGTATCTCATACTATTGATGAGAGAATTCAGTGGAAACTGTACTGACTGTGTGTTGCCAATGAGCCGTATTCCCTAAGAAATTTCTGGCGTTTCAGACACTCGTGTACAAAAATACTTCCCATTATTCAGTGTTTATACTAGTTTTATCTTTTTTAGAAGCACTTTAGAACTTCTGATGCTTCTGTGGGTTTCACCATCTTTGCAATGGCGTGAAGGTGAAGGTGATGGCTCAACAGGTTTTCTAACAGATTGTGGCTGGCCCAGGAGTTAAATCCCAGCAGGAAAAAAAAAAGTTGACGTACTATTTCCTTTATCTGTAACAGTATGAGTTAAAGCTTGGGAAAAACAAAACAAACAAACAAACAAAAAAAACTAGGTCTGAAGCTACTGAGAAAAAGAAAACTAGTCTTCGGGTGTCAGTATCTCAGAATGCACGCAAGCTTTGTCCTGAGTGGCTCTAGGCTCGAGTGGCAGCTGACTTGAAAGGCAACCAAGGCGGCACACCACTTCCAGCCCCACTGCCCCACTTTCTAATGTGCCTAAAACAATTTTCACTTTTTCAAAATTTCTCTTTTCAAGTTGTCAACTTTAGGCGAGGTCGGTTTCATGTCCTTTCATTGTCAAAGCAAACAAAAATTTGAAGGATGAGAAATAATGACGGCAGTGAAGTGGAGTTCTTAGTGACAGAGGAAAACAAAAAGCTGGGCTATCTTTCAGGAGGCTCGGCACTGACTCACTATTCTGAAAATTGGTAAATAAGAGGAAAGAATAAAATGTTTATCCTGTCTTGCTCGTTCAGACTGTTTCCTTAGGGAAACCACACAGGAATGCGGGAACACAAATATTCATGGTACCATGTCTGCTGCTGAGTAGAGAAGAAACGAGAATGAATGAGAACACTGCCTAATGAAATAATGGGTCTAGAGAATGATGACAAATGGCAGCAAAACCCATGTGGTGAGAGGCAGATGCTGAGCTCTGTGATAGACGCACTGATGATATTATCACGAAAAGGCTCCAGATGTCTCCTAACTGAAGGACATCATGCCCCTCCGTCCCCAGATGCCTTCCTGGTAAAAAATTCCGACCCGAATCACATTGTGTCTCGATATCTAACCATCAAATTACAGTAAACATGGAGAACAAGTGGGGAGGTACAGTGGGAAGGAGCACTTAGTCCCAAATTCTGGATGGAATCGACAAAATCCACAGTGTGGAAAACTCTGCAAGACAAAGGCCCTGGTTTCTTCAACAGGTCAATTGTGGGGGTAAGGGAAGAAGGGGAAAGATATAGATTAGAAAAGATCTATGTGATAAATCAACCAAATGCAACACATGGACATTACATGAATCCTGATTCAGATAAGCTGACTTTTTTTTAATAGCAATGGGAGAAATTTTAATACAGAGTGAATATTAGATGATATTAAGAAATTATTCTTTCTTATAATGATTTTATGTTGGTTTTTTTTTAAGGAGAGAGTACATATCTTTTCAGATATACTGAACTATTTATAGATCAAATGATAGGATGTGTGGGATATGCCTCAAGCGAACCTAGTGGTGGCAGGAGGAGATGGCGTGCAGATAATACAGAAAGGAGCATGAGGTAACGATTGCTGAAGTTGCATGACAGGTGTATGGAATCTCATTATGTTAGTTTTATATTTATTTGAAATTTTCCATGATGAAAAGTTTAAAATTCAAGAAAGAAAGAAGGGAAGGAGAGAGAAAGGGGGGAGGGGCAGAAAAGAAAGGAAAGAAAGAAAAGAAAAGAAAAAATAGAAGAGAAGAGAAGAAAAGAAAGGAGAGGAGGGGGAAGAACAAGCATTAATGACAAAGTTCTTTTTAGCAGGAACTTCTGTAGGAAAAGATAAAACTTGATTTTTTAAAAAAAGGGATAAAACTAGAAGGTGATATCTAGGCTTCACAGCAGAATGAACAGGTTGTAACATAGAATTCTACCCGAGAGATAAAGAAATCTGATCATCAGTATCACCACACAACTATCAAATCCACTTATCAATGGAATGTTTTTTTAAATGTAGATCTAGGGATGCACAGCTGAAGCCAGTACCTCTGCAATAGAGGCAGAATTGTTAAGAACAGAATTTCAAGCAAGTTCAGAGATCTAGCATGCTTCAGAAAGCTGGATTTTATGGAAAAAATTTTTTAAATATAAAGAGTAAAATAACAGAGCTATAATATTACAACTTAACAAAAAAAATAAAAGAACCCGTCTTTCCTAAAGTGTCAAGCCCTCTGAGGAGAGATACACTTATATTCCAGCTTTTGAGCAGTCACCTCTGACGTTGCTGCCTATTGGGAAATTACGGGAGAAGGGTCTGAAGCCCCAACAGTGGTGGGGACCGCGGTGGGATGAGGGGGAGTCAGTGGAGTAGCCATACCTAATCTAGCAGGCTTTTGGTCCAAGAAGCAAGATGGCCAGCACCAAGACAATAATTACACACCTAAAAGCAGATGTCCAGGCCAGGACTCGCCATCCCCAGCAATGGACGTGTCACCTTTAATGCATCCTGGCAGCCAAGGGACAGTGGGTCCTCTGCCTGAGCAGAAACACTGGACCCAGACTGAACAGGGATGATGCTTGTGGATGGGCTTTGGGTGGAAACAGCCTGGGAGGACAGTTTGATCAAGACGTCAGGAGTCATCCTGAACGCAGCCCCCCGGAGCCAGTGGGTCCGGCCTGCGGGACCCTCAGTCAGGAGCTCTGTGGGAGTGTGGGCGCTGGGGCCCTGCTGCAGAGGCCGGGTTCATCTTTTGAGGCTAATTCTAGGCAAGAATCCTGAAGGCAGTGATGTCAGTGTTCTAAGAGGCTCCGGCCACTCAGGAGTGAGAACATTCAAGAATCTCCACAGATCGTGCCCAGCCAAGCCCCCAGAAATAGCACCTCCATACACGAGCTTCCCGCTTAGTTCTAACGGGCTCTCCTCGCTTTCCTGCATGTAGAACGGGCCTGGTTGCTTGCCCTGCATCCTCCCCCTTGCTCCCGGACACACGTGCACATCTTCTCTCCCTCCTCCTCCCCTCTCACCTCTTTCTTGGCTTGGCAGACTTGCTTCTCCAGTTCCTCAGGTATCATCTTACCTCTAAGAGACACAGTTGAGACGTCCAGTTACATTCAGTAGTGAACAGACATTGGTGCTGCTGTTTTAAAGGTATGACTATCCCCCCTCACTCCCACCAGGCTTCTGGTTCCGATCACCATTACCTTTCATCTGTTTCCACAAAGCAAACGTTCTCAGTGCCAATCCCAAGAAAAGAGGCTGCCTTCTTCATGGAGTAATGACACTAAATGAAAAGAGGCAAGGGGAGAGAGAAGACATGAACACATAGCATGAAAAAAGGATGCTTCTTATCCATCTGGGTGTAAGTCAGATGGGTGAGCCCAGTCTTTGGGATATTATTGCATAAAAGAAAAAGAAAGTAATAATTTAATGGAGCTCCTTTGTATAGTGGTTGAAAATACTGACTTTGGTTTGGGTCAGAGAAGCCAGGATTTAATTCCAAGTTTTCCCAGTTATAGCTATGAAATCTGGAGCAAATAATGCACACTTGCCATTACCCTATGATCCAGCAATCCCACCTAGGCATATATCCAGAGAAAGGTCTAATTTGAAAAGATACACACACCTCAGTGTTCATAGCAGCAGTATTTACAATAGCCAAGACATGGAAACCACCTAAGTGTTGACTGACAGGTGGCTGGATAAAGAAGTTGTGGTATATATATCTATGATGGAATACTATTCAGCCATAAAAAGGATGAGCTGTCTGCCATTTGCAGCAACATGAATGGACCTAGAGATCGACATACTAAGTGAAATAAGTAAGACAGAGAAAGACAGGTATCATATGATATCACTTACATGTGGAATCTAAAAAAAAAAAATACAAATAATTTATTCTCCAAGCCTCGATTTCTTAATCTATAAAGCTGGCCATGTCAACGCCTTTTCCGTCAGCTTGTCACAGAGTTAAAAGTGATAATACCTGTAAAGAGCTTAGCATAGAGCTGACATACAGAACAAACTCGGTCATTGGAGGCTCTTGTTTTCCTTAACATTGAGAATAGTTTCTCTTGATGCTACTAATAAGACTCAGCATTAATGGAAGCAGAACCTAGCCCACTGCTGCCTCAGAACCCTCTCAGGAGGGAGCATGACGCTGTCTCAAATACTGTGATCACGACCACAGAAGAATCCAATTATTTTCAAGAGGAAATAATGGGTTAGAAATGCTGATCAGGCACTTGACCCATCTTGCTTAATACTGAGTATAAGGCTAAAATTAGACACACAGGAATGTGGCTAAAATCATAATCACAAAAGTAATAATAATTTATAGACACATGATAGGGTACAGCCCTGGCGGGAATGAGGCTAAGAGCTGGCTTTAGAATTGGTTGGGGTCAGAGAAGACAGGATTTAATTCCAAGTTTGGAATTAGGTCCAGTCTATTTCTCTCTGGCAAGTAGTAGTATGTAATTTTAGATTGTTGAGTCTTTTCCCCCTACTATATAAAACCTATAAAATAATTAACATTCCAACATGGGAGATGTCGCTCTTTATACATTAGTGGGGACAGGTGGTCAATTAATTCTTTTTCATGCCAGAAAAAAATGAAAGTGCTAAAGGACATTATTGTACCAAAGAACCTGAGTAATTTAATTTGCAGATATGAATACATTAAAAGAGTAGTCATGCCTTCAAACTTAACTTGATATAGTCCCTCAAATGTGGCAATTTTTTCCCTCTTTTGTCAAGAGAATTTTATTGGGAGCTCTTTTTTTTTAACTCTGTAAAAATAAATGCAGAAGTAACACCATCAGGAAAAAAAATGAAACTATCCTAAATAATTTCCAAATATCAAATAGGACACATTCAAAATGCCTGTAGGATGCATTCATTTCGGGTTGTTACGAGAACTTATGCATACTGAAGGGTAAAAATGCACATGAGAACGTAATTAATTCTCTGCTTGTGACATCAGCCCACCAGAACTAAGGACACAGCTAAGGCGAATTATTTCTCAACAGTCTGGGGGCACTGGCACCAAAAGCTATCGATTTCACAATGATAAATCGTAGCCTCCCATCTGACATCTGCCCGTCAGGAAAATCACACTGTTTTGCCCTGAGAAATAGCCAAATACTGCCAACCCAATGGATCTGCTGAATAAAAACCTTGTAATCAGAATAAGAATAGGTTCCGTGGAGCTATCTTTGGGTCTGGCAGGGCCAAGGAGAGTCCAATGTCAATCAGAAATGGAAAGGAACAGAGTAAAAACAAAAAAGTTTGCAAAACTGAAGTCTAAACCTCTGAAAGCATCAGAGAAAAATGCCCTGGAAGGAGGGGAAAAAAAAAATGGAGCCATGCTCCCGACATGCTGAGTAGTTTCAGGAAAGGAAAAACCTAGAAGGCTGGAGTTGAGAAGTAACAGCTGCATTTAGAAACAAGCTGTACCTGCTCCCATCACTGGCAGAAGGTAAGTCAGTTCTTCTAAGACCCAACCTCCCCCTGGCTTTCGCTGGTCCACAGAGATGCACACATCTCAGCGGGCGTTCACGTCTACAAAGATGAAACAGCCGCGGCCCACATGAAAGACAGAACTGCACTGAAGCCTTCCCTCCTGGCGCCAGCAGGGATTTCTTCTGTGACCCCGCGTTTCCCAGTGAATCACTCCTTTCCCACCCGGGGAGTGCGTTCAGGACCTTGTGCATGCTAAGCATGCGCTCTGCCCCCTGAGCTACACCCTCCTGCCTCGGAGTCCTTCTGATGCTGACTAGTTCGATGCTCACATTAGCTCCGGGTGGTGGGGAGGGCAGGAAATAAAGAAAGGAATGGACAGGGACTTTTCTAGGAGCACCCAGCTGGGTCACTCCCTAAAGAAGCAGAGCCAGAACCCAGGTGAACTCTTCATGCTCCGCCCGCCTTCCTGAGAAGCACCTGCTTGCCTGTGAATGCGGCAGGGACGTCCAAACCCAGGGCAGCCTCACCAGGAGAGCTGGGCCACGAATAGGGTGGAGTGTTTAATAGGAAAAAAAAAAAAAGTCTGCAGAGGTCATATCCAGGTTGTATTTTTTCTCAGATGTTTTGTTTTATGGTCATGACGACTGAGGTATTTTTTGCCCGGGTTTGAGAAGCCAGATAGAGAGAATGTGTAGTGCTTATTGTGTTGTCTCCTAACTTGCAAACAGACCAAATGAGTGAGTAGAGGGGGAGCCTAACTGTGGGGCTGGCACAGCCTGGGCCCCACGGCTGACTGAAGTACACTTTTGTTTGACTGAGGGACATTAAAGCACAAAAAAAGAAAAAAAAAAGGCATCTCAGGTGCAAAATTTAAGTAGGCATGGCCCTGAGATACGTCCCCTAGACATCTCACCTGCCTCCCGCCGCCTCCATCCTGCCAGAAAGGAACTTGGACAATTGATAGTTACTGGCCTGGGAGGAAAAAGGGTTTCTCTTCTCCCCAGGTGTTTAGTGGCAGACTTTATATTAATTCCCAAAATGATGTCTATAAAGTTAAGGAATTCATCTCCAGCTGCTCATCAAGCCACAAATGTTCTATTACTTTTCTCCATAAGTGCCCTTTTCTTTGGCTCTCGTCTGGCCTGGAGAGGCTACCTTGGATGTGCTGGCAGTTCAGGGACCTCTGACATGATCTTCCAGGTCTCCACCAGCAGCTGAATTACCATGGAAACCTGAGGTGTGTGCAAAGCACCTTGAGCAGTCGGTTGGTGTGCATATTTTGCATTGGATGGTGTGAGACAGAGAGGGAGTAATTATCCTGGTTCTTCAGGGACTGCGTAAACACTGGAAAAGTAAAGCCACAAAATAAAACAACCTGGGGACATAACCAGGGGGCCATGGGCCAATGCCAGAAAGACAATCAAGGAGGTAGAGCAGAAAAATTAGCATAGGGGTTTAGCATTATTCAGGAAACACAGACTACTTTAATTCTTCTTTTTTTTTCTAACTAAGTAATGAATTGATTTGTTGTAAATAGTGGCAAAGAGGTCACTAAAATATGAATTAAAATAATGCCAACGCCACGACCTGTGTCTCCTCCACAGAGAAGGGGGAGGAACGCACTATAAAGAGGGGGCTGGGTGGATGGGGTCATGCCCACATAGTCAAGGCTGCAGTATGTTCAGAGTCATGGAGTTTTTCTGTGGCATTCACTTTGCTATGGACTGAATGTCTGGGTCCCCTCAAAATTAAGGTGCGTGTTTAACCCCTAGCCTGCAGTGGAATGGGATTGGGTTTATTAGGGCACAAGGGTGAGACTCTCATGAGATGAGCACCCTTGTGAGAAAACGAAGCCAGATCTCACTCTGCCCACAAGCAAGGCCCTGTGAGCACACAGAGGTCTAGATGCCAGGAAGGGGGCTCTCACCAGACACCCAGTCTTCCAGCACCTTGATCTTGGACATCTCCACCTCCAGAACTGGGAGAAATACGTGTCTGTTGTTTATCTCACCTACTCTGTTTTTCGCAACAGCAGCTCAAACAGACTGAGACACACATTTAGTTCTTGGTTTGCTGGCCCCATCTTCTGCTGGCATTGCCGTTAGCCAAGGCATACAGTTTGCTTTTTTTTTTTTTTGCATATTTATTTCCACCGGAGGTTTTAAAAACTACTTTGCTCTGGTTTCACAACTGCATGAGGTTTCCGTTTCTTTTTACCCCCAGTCTGCCAGCTACACCCCTGTTACCAATCCTCCCCGGCATAACCTTCCTTCTAGGCTTGTGTAGAATGTCTTCCCCCTTTCCAGGGCAATTATTCCAGAAAAGAACTCTGGTAAATTTTAAACCAAATGAAGATCAAAAAAGGCCAAAGTGAAAGCACTGAACTGATAGCAGGACCCCTATTTGATCCACTTTCCTAGGCGTGGAAATGGCATTTCACGTGCAGAAGGGACTCTGCATTCTTGATGCATGGGTACATTTCCTCAGGCTGAAATTCCAAGGCTTGGAGCCCAGAGTGGGAAACTCTATCCCACAGCAATCCCAGATACCCAAGTTGTTTCCCTTTTCCCCAGATGTCCACATTCCCAAACATTCTTCTCTTCCTACGGAAAGAATGTCTCATAAGGAAGGGCCTGGGTAGCTGAATTTAGAATCTCAGACTAGATGACCCCTCCCAGATGTCTCCCAGCACGCAATGCCCACTTTGCACTTAGTGGGTAAACTATCCAGATGTCAGGTAGGACAGGAGGAGAACTTAGGGGTGGTCAGGTTCCTGCACAGTTTATACTTTTGCAGTAATAAAGTAACTTTGCTCTTGAAAAAAAGTAACAGGTACAGGAAAATCAAGCTGCAATGAACAGAGGATGGTCGGATTTTGCCTGCCTCACCTGTTTGACAGGGCACCTAGGATGACTGCAGAAGGTACAGAAGCTAGACTCTTCCTGCCAGGGGTGAGGGGAAGACACAGCAGTGGGATGGACAGGGGTACCCACTGGAATCACAAAAACAGGAAAGAAAAAAAAAGGCATCTATTCCAAGACAGACTGCATTTAAGCCGTGCCGTCCAGTCTCCCCACATTATTATAACTGGATCACTCCCTCCTCCTACTGAGAGCTAACATTTTTGCCCATCTATTATGCGCCAGATGCTAGCTGGCACGCTCCAACTCATTCAGTCTTTGCAGCAACCCACTCGTCGGTGATAACTCGGCTCATGTGGCTGCTGGGTTGTTTAATGGCCCCGACTTTTCAGTGCTCCTGGTGCCAATCCCTTCTCCAGGTGACTTTGCAGCCAGTCTCCTTAAGAGGTGAAGTCTCTTTTCCCACTCCTTGGATCTGAGTTCCTGAGACAGACTTTACCAAGAAAATGAGGTAGAAATGACAACGTGCCAGTTCTGAGCCTTAGGATTCAAGTGGCCCAGTGCGTTTCCATGCTGTTTTTCACCTGCATCACTGCCATGACAACACACCTGGACAAGCCTGCTGGAGGATGACAGACTCATGGAGCATCACTGGAGTCATCCCTGCCCAGCCACTCCTAGGTCAACCATCAGCCAGTCAAGCACTAGAAACATAGGGCGCCCAACCAAGAAGAGCAGAACGGCCCAGCTATCCCCCAATTTGTAAGTAATCATATCTAACTAGAGTTCTATGCCACTGGGTTTTAGGGTAGACACAAGAGCTAACGAATACACTCATTTTTGTGCATTAGGAAACTGAAAAACAGAGGAGTTCATCAACTTACTCAGGGTCACTCAGATAGTAAGTAGTGGAGACAGAAATTGATACCAGGCAGCCTAGCTCAAAGCCAGTGCCCTTATCTACAATCGGACCTCCTATTGCAGTGGAGAGCAGAATAGGGGAGTGTGTGTGTGTGTGATGTTCACTGGTACCAAATATCTCCCCTTCCTCTGGGAAAGCCCTTGTATTAGCCATTTAAAGCAATCAACTTTACAAGGAAATATGAGAAGACATGGCTGGTATGAGTAGCAATCATCGAAGCTCTAATAAGTAAGACATTCAAAGAAGAGATTCATAGAGACAGACAGCACTTTCAAATTAAACGTTGTGGACTCTAAATTGTAAGTAAAGGTGATGTATAAAATTGGGTGGCCAGGGGTTACAGTATCAAACCCGTCAGGATTTCCTTCAGAACGAAACCTGACGTTGTACTCAGGCAGGCACACACACGGATTACTCACACATAGATAGGATGAGAGAACAGAGGAGCCCCCACTCACACAAGCCCTCTTCAATAGCGCGTTCATTCTCAGAAAATCTGTATCTCGTACCAAAAATGATTATTTTTACCTCTGCTGATGTGAAAAGGATTAATCTTGGCAAGCCAGACAGCCCCTTTTCCTTAATGTCAGGACAGAATTTGTATCTAGCTAAATTCATGGCATACATGTTGGACACTGAACCACCTGCAAAAACAAAATTGAAATGGCACGTTTATAGCATGAAGTCACTGTTTCCTAAGTGCCAGCTATAGTGGGAGTTTGGGTGAGTGTGGCTGCCCTAGTCTAATGACAAATCACTGTCAAAATCACCCCAGCACCGCCCCCATCCTCATCTCCAATTCCAGCAGCACCCAGCCTTGGCCGAGAGAGTTTTGGTCTCTTCTCTCATTCTAGAGTTCTCCTAAGCTTAAAGTTTCCATCGATGGACTTAGGGCCAGTACAAGAAGTCTCCAAGTGAATAATACTCTTTCTGTCTGTATCTCATGAATAAAATGACAACACATGCTCCTTCCTGGTTCCAAAGAAGGGCTGTCAGAGAAACAAAATATGGCTCAGGGAACTTCTTACATAAAATTAATTGGCAAACTTGTGATATAGCCCTTCCAAACTCCCAGCAACAGACACATTCGTTTGTGTTGGATGTAAATCCAAAGTTGTGGACCTCTCATTTGTTAGCGTTTGCATCATTTACATAGCTTTTATGCAGAACAGCATCACTCTGGGGACAGGCCCAGGCTCGACTGTTTCCCAGGCAGCAGGATTCATATCCAACTTTTTGTAATGTGTGCATCTGCAAGGAGCTGTTCCTCACGTAAGACATGAACAAAAATGGAGATGCTTGGGATGGAGGGAGACGACAGTAACTAATTGTACTTACCTGGGTTAAATATTCCATCCCCTTCTTTCCAGCCAATAAATTCAATCATTTTCTTCAGAACTGCTTCTTCCACTAACAGAAACACTGGGGACACCTCATACGTATAACTAGACAGACATAAAAAACACTTCACTTCTATGACGAGAGCCAAACCATCCCTTTGGAGTCCCAAGAAATGCACGTAGAGTTTTATTAGTAAACCAAGTGGCCGTTGAAGTCTTTGGAAGTGAATCCATCAGAAACACACCGTCTGTGGCAGTGCTAGTCATGGTTAGCTAGATGCCGACAGCGTGTGGCCTTAGGGACACACCAGCTGCTCCAGCAGACATAGTTTACAGGAAACCTTCAATTCCACTGGGAGAACCGAAGCAGTGCACCTGGATTGTTTGTCATGGCCACGAGAAGTGACCCTTTTGCTCCTTGGATGCTGGTTAAAGAAAAGCCATTGTCATGGTAACCAAGTTTATCAGGTTACTACCAGGAGCACCCTGGCAGTCAGCTCTAGACCTTGGGCTTCCTGCACCACACCCCTGGGCCTGGACAAATGGGAAGAGTGCTGCAGGACATCCCTTATGAAGGGATGACTTCACTACAGAGCACTGCCTGGATCCCTGCATGAAGGTTTGCTGCTCTGGGATGGCAAGCTGCCATCAGACAGCTCTGCTAACACAGCCCCTTCAGGCACTGCCTCAGCTCAGGGGAGCTACCCCTCCAAGGCCACGCCTTTTCTTGTGGCGGCCCAGCAAGAGGTCGACCTGGGCCTGGGCGTGCGGCCCAACTCCAGACAGCACTGAAGGGCCAGGGTCGCTCCAGAGGTGTCCATGGGGTCGGTCGAGGTGGTCTTTGAGCCTGCGTGGTGGCCTGACTCCTGTCTGTGCCCATTCCTGCTTCCTCCCCTAAAATCCCCCGTGTTGCTCCCAAAGATACTTATTCCTTAATAAACATCCTGCTCACTAAACTCTATCAGGAGCAGCTGCCCGGGAAGCCAACCTGGGGCAGTTACCACGTAATTTTACAATGTTTCTTCCTTTTTCCAGGTAACTGGAGGGTGACCAAATATGCAGCATCTCCTTCTCTAACAATTAGGCGGTTACATTAAACTGAATCTGAACAAATGTGTACTCTAAACAGGTAAGCTAAGCAGACACATTTAAATTTATAGTCACGGAATTTAATGCAATTATTTTACCATCCAGAGGAAAAAACTGTGGGAAGGAGACAAATATAAAAAAAAAAAAAAAGCACACCCACTGTGTCATCACCTCCCAGCGTGCCCAGCACTCTACAGACATTACATCATTTTTCAAACAACTTAGGTTCTATTTTCAGCCATGCTAGGAAACCCGTTTACATACATTGAAAGGGGTGGGGTGGGGGAGTATATACAACTGCAAATAAAAGTGAAATAATCGTTCACTTTTTTTGTAAGGAAAAAAATACTATTGAACTTGTCTTTGAAAACTAGCTCAAGCGTAAACCTGGAGTACGCCCGGACATGGAGGGGGGGGCGCCACGCAGAATGAATGCCCCTATGGCCTGGTGACATGTTGAGTGGACTGTTCAGCTTAGCAGCAGTTTGATACTTCAAAAAGCTCTGAATATTTCAGCAAAAGAACCCAGATGGGAAATAGAAATCTCAGGACTTACGAGAAAAGGCGCATAGAACTGTATAATTTGACTGCTTTTTCTACCACTTAACCCTTCCACCTATTGTAACCTGGTATCTGGTATTGTCTCGAGTTATTCCACCAAAAATTCTTTACCCCAAGTCGCCAATAACATCCATGTTGTTAATCCAGGGGGCACTTTTCTGTCTTTGTCTTGGTGAACTGCTCAACAGCTCGCTACGGCAGTCGCACCCACCCCCAGGGCCCCCTGCATTCCTGTTGGGCTTCCTCCTTCTCTCTCCACTGTCAGCTGATTCTCCTCCTTCTAACCGTTAAATAGCAGATGCCCTCAAGGTCCAGTCCTAAGCCCCTTTCTGTCCTCACACTACACTCTGTCCTGCAGGCAGTGCTTCTCTCTCTCCTGGTTTGTCTTTTTTCAAAGTGTCTCCCTGCTCGTTCAAATCTCTTGTTGGGCTAAGAAAACATACCTGTGCCTGGACACATCCTTAGAAATTCAGATTTATTTGGCCTAGGTTGGGACCCAGGTCTTAATACTTTTTCTTTTTAAGTTCCTAGGTTGATTCTAAAGAGCAGAGAGAGTTGAGAATCACCGACTTAAGGGATCTCATCCATATCCACTTGGCAATCGCTATCATTCACCAGTAACATCTAAATTTATAACGTGCACATAAATGTCAGAATTCCAGGCCCATATATCTCTCAGATCTCCGAGAGTACACTCCTGGATATGCAAAGTCACTGCGAACTCAAGTGTTCACAACTGAAAACCGAATTCTCACTCTTGCCTTTTCCACCATATACTTGAAAACTGGACCCTCTTCTAATTATTCTCATCTCAGTGAGTGACATGACCATCAACCCAGCTATAAAAGCCGGAAACTCAGGCATCATCTTCCTGTGCTCATTTCAAAGATCCACTATATCATCCAGCCCTTTCTGTTTCACCTTCCAAACACATTTTTTTCCTCTCTATTCCTACCGCTTCTGTCAAAATCCAAGCTACTGTCATCAATCACCTGACTAAGGTAACACCATCTAATTGGTCCCCTCCAATCCACTCTCCATATTTCCAGAGATCCTTTCAATAAGCAAATGTCACCTAGGGACCTGGAAGCGTGCAGTGGCTTTTTGTTGTACTTAGAATGACTCATAAACATGGCCCATTGGGTCCTGTGTGTCTGGCTCCTATCTTATCTCCATGACATTCCCCGTAGCTCTCCCAGCTACCCCCACCCTGACCTTTCAGTTCATAGCGTATGTCATGCTGTCTCCTGCTGCAGAGCCTTTGTGCATGCTGTTCCTTCTGTTTGGAATCCAGCTCTCCTCTTTTCACCTAGTTAACTGTCACTCATTCTTCAGCCCTTAGCTGTTCCTTCCTCAGAGAAAACGTCCCTGAGTGCCCAACTAGGAAAAATTGTCCCATTTATATTTATAGTATCACACACCTCTCCTTCATATGAAAATTTACATTAATTTTGTGGGTCATTTTGATTAATTTGCATGGAACATCTCTATCTCACTAGATTATTTTGCTTCTTGAAGGCAAAATCAAGGTTCGTTCTTACACAGTATCCTCTCCAGCACCTTAGCACAGACGTGGCTTTTCACACAGGAATGAATGAAAAGTTGCTTAATTGATTTTTGTCCTCTGTTAAGAGGAGATGACAATGCCTGTCTTACCCATCCCACAGCACCACTACCATCAAGCTGCTCTTTCTGAATACTGCCAAGTGTCACAGACTGCCCCATTACTGATGACGACAGTGCACAAATGAAACCATTAAACAGAAGTTCATCAAATAAAAATTCATCTACTTAAAGTCTCTAGTCCATGCCCAGCGTAAAGTTCCAGTAAAATGTACTTACACACTTGGATTCAATGCTTCTGTCATAAATCTGGCCACCAAAGAGTAATAATCAAGTCCAGCATATAACTGGTTGAAAAATCTTGGATGGTCTGTAAATTGAAACAAATTATTCATCTACACAGCCATAAAAAAAGAAAGAAAACTGTTGATACAGCAATAACGTAAGTGAATCCCTCAGAAAACGGAAGCAGCTGGGTACAAAAGAGTATACAATGCTGGTTCCACTTACATGGCATTCAGTGTCTGGCAAAGCGGACCTACGGAGATGAGCGTGGGATTCTGGACACCTTTGGCAAGGCTGTATTGATTAGGAAGGGGCAGGAGTGGTCCATATCTTGATCTGGGTGATGATCACTTGCATGCAGATACGTACAATTTCACTGAGCAAAGCACCTAAGGTAGGTCCACTTTCTTGAATGTAAATTAGACCTCAATTTTTTAAAAGCATTCAAAATCTAACCACGCACGAGGGAAATATGTTGAAGACCCATCTCACAGTCCTGTCTACTGAACAACAATATATTCCTAGGCAAAACTTGAGCACTCTTCAGAGCTTTGGTTTGCCTGCTCCTTTCTGACTACAACCTAGACCCAAATCAGAACCTTGAGAAATGGATTACTGGAGCATTGCCCACATGTCAGCCTGCAGCTACCTTTACCTTCTGAAATTATCGCTGTTAACTTCCCTAACTTTAAACACATTTCACTCACCAACAGGGTTCACTTCAGGCTCCTGGCAGGGAGTGGCCTCTTACTTCCTCAGACTGCACCATTTTTTATAGCACAACTGGCATCACATAGACAGAGTAAGATGTGACTCACCAAGTGACTTACATAAACTTTCTGATTCAATGTACTTCAAAGGCAGTTGCCTTTAAGACTCGAAAAACTTCAGTTCCAACTTTCTATTTTTTTCCCCTCCTAGAAAAGGTCTTATAAAGGTTCTTGGCTTTTCATGGTGTGAATATTCACACCAAACACCAGGCTAACGGTTGGCTTGACATTCTCAATTGTAGGAAGCCCAGTGTGACAAAGAACAAAGAAGTAGGAGGCCTATTTCTAAATTTGGGTATTTGGGAACCATCTTAGTTAGTGGCCTCTCATTACAACTTATAGCATTTGGTTTTAGGGGTTTTTTTCTCTTTAAACAAGGAGTTCAACAAAAAACAAAAGTCTCAAAAGAAAATGTTTTTTCACATAAAGCACGGCCAATTTTCTCTAATCTGGCAAAGGAAACCAGACATTGCTACAAGTCATTTTAATAAGTTTTTTTTTTTAGTTCCGTGTTAATTTATGATTGATTTCCATGGTAACATTATGGAAAATATCCAGTAAACTGAAAAATCTACTGCATTAAATGTCATTCTACACTTCTGACAGGCACTATAATAATGAGATATGTATCTCTGCTTTTGAAATGCTAACTGGGTTTTTGATACATACACCAGACTTTCCCAAGGGAATATAAACCAATTATTTTTAGCTGGGATTTTATTATATTCTTTCCACTAAATTTAGTTCAGTGTCAGAATTCACAAAGCATAATGCCGGCACGGTCTTAAGCACTAGATTACCTTTACATCACACTGAGAAATGCGGGTTTTGGAAAGTTCTTCTCCTGCTTTTGAAACTTGTTCACTAGGTGCACAGGATATTAACCATCAGTTGGAACAGTCCCTGAGCACAAGACTAGTATCGTGTTACTGCATTTACAAAAGATCACAGTGGTTAAGCCTTGTTGTGAAACTATCACAGCAAAAACTTGCTGTGCATTCATTTTCTCCTACCTTCCTAAAGGTTTTTATTTTTTCATGGTTTTTATTTTTTGATCCTGCTGGATTTGATAAAATAATTTGGTGCTTGCCAACAGCCAAGAGTTAATCAGTACCTTCCAAATGAATCTCTCCCTGTTTAATAGTAAAAGACACCATCTTGAACAATTTTTTTTTGCATGTTCTGGGTGATCAAGATGCATAATCCTCTAAAAAATTGTATAATCGATATGCCATTTGTCAGTTTGCTGCAATGTGAGAAATGATACGTAGCAGTCATAAGAGATGGTCTGGATTATAAATGGGGGATGCAGATGGTTAAGGAGCAGACAATATTTATATATGACCCTTAACACCTCCAGTTTTTCTTTGACCTTGAGAACAAATCCACATCAGGGATTAGATGGACCCTTGTAAAAATACCAGAACCCCTAGTTTTGATTCAGGTTTCTCATCCCACAAACATGGTCACGCTCAGCTTCACGGGGAAGTGAGTACATGCTGGAGAAAACGTAAGGAGCGGTAGAGGCACGGGTGGAGGGAGCGCTTGCGAGGTCTTACTGGTTTTGACGCTGTAGCGGATGACGTCCCGGCAGAGTGCCAGCAGCCGGCCGTGCGGCTCTCCGCTGTCTCTCAGCTCCAAATCCAGGAGTTGTCTCAGCTGCTCGGGAGGCCGCCACTCACAGACCTGGAGATGCCACAGCAGCCTGGTTAACAGGGGCCGCTGGAGCGGGGTGTGGAGCCGGTGTTACAAGTGAGGACCCTGCCCTTATGAAGCTTCCAGACCAGTGGGAGAGAGATTTAAGCGTGCAGCCACAGTTCCCGGTGAGAAGAGCTGTGACACTAATGCAGATGTTGCTGGAATGGATGAGGGACCCCATCTGAAATGTGGGAAGAGTTCCTGGAGGAACGGACATCGATGTTGGTACAGAAAGAAAGAGAGGAGAAGCCAAGCGGAGATCAGGGGATGGGGTGATGCAAGGGGCCGTCTGGGTGGCAGGACAGGACAAGCAGAGGCTGAGATGTGAGGGACCCACGGCCTGTCTGCAGAGCCAAGGAGGTTTGGTGTGGCTTGAACACGGGGCTTGAAGGGAGGCAGGGTCAGAGTGAAGCTGGAATCCCCAAATAACTCCCGGATTCGCCTCTCTGCTCGTCCCCTGGCCCCGTGCAGCCTGAGATCAGCCCAGCAGCCAGAATCCAGAATGCTCGTCTTCTGTCTGAGCCATGGTCATTTCTCCGCCCAAACACCTCCAGGGGCTCCTCGCTTCCTTCAAAGCAAAAGGCTCAAGTCCTTCCAATGACCTAAAATGGTCCCGTACAACCAGCTCCCCCAGTGGTGTCTCCTCTCTCGTCTCCCCTGGCACCACCTTCCTCCTGACTGACTCTGCCCGACCATTCAGCCTCCCTTCTGTTCCTTAGATGTACCAGGCTCACTCCCACCTTGGGGTCCTTGCCCTCTGCCTGGAATACCCCCAACTCACTGCCAAATACCCTCGTAGCTAACTTCCTGACTTCATTCAAAACTTCTCAAATGTCCCTTTCTCCATGACAGCGACCCTGACTCCTTATTCAAAACCACCAGCTGGGCATTTCCCCAGCTCTAGGAATGCCCCCTAGGTTTTCCTCCTCCTACTTTTTTCCATAGCACCTGTTGCCTCCCAGCACGCTGCGTCACTCACTTGCTGCGTCCTACGTGCCCTCCAGGAGAGCAGAGACGTTGGTCAGCTTCCTCCCTGCTCCCAAGGAAGTAACACAGAGCCTGCTGCATAAGAGGGTCTCAGCAAAGGTGTGGGGAGTGAATGGATGAATGAACAAATGAAGAGATCAACAAGGCTCAGATCAGGACAGGCTTCACACGGCGTGTTGTAGAGTTTGAACACGGCTCTTCAAAAAACCACTGACCTGTTCCTGACAGGAGCAATGATGTGATCATATTTGGGTTTTAGACAATAGCTTTGGTTGCTATATGGAGACTCCAAATAAAACTGGAAATAAGAGGTTACTGCGATAAAGCAGGTGAGAGAAGGTCATAGTCTGGATGAGGGGAGCTGCTCTAGGAACGAAGCCCAGTTGGAGAGGTGAAAACGCACAGTCGTGAGGACCTGGAAGGCAGCAGCACGCTGAGGAGTGGGGAAAAACAAGCCAAAGGTGATCCCGAGGTTTCTACCTGGAACACAGGGCGAGGGTGGTTGGGGTTGGGTAGGGATGATGAGTGTCGAGCATATTTGCTCTAGGGCACCTTCAGGACATCCAAAAGGGATGTAGCAGTTGGTCTGAAGCTCTTTTGAAAGATCAGGAGCAGAGTTTCAGG